AAATGTTTAGATCTGTTTACAACCTTTGACTGCTCCTTCCACATTTTGTTCTGGCTCAGCTTCTTTTAGCTTACTTGTGCAAATTTAAACGCTTTTCCAGCTACTTTCAGCTACTTTCAGCTGGTTTTTTTCCCCAGATCTTTGTGCTCCTTTCAGAATCTTTATGCTAACTACAACATTTTTGTGCTTCTTCTTACTTATTTCTACTAATTTCAGCTTGTTATGCTCCTTTCAGCTTAATTTCTGCAAGTTTCAGCTTTTTCTGCTATTTCAGCTATTTAGCTGTTTTTATGCTAGTGTTAGCTTTTTCAGCTAATTTCACATTTGTTGCACTCATTTCAACCTTTTTTTTTAGCCAAATTCAGCAAAAATGCGCTCTCTTCACTTCCTTCTGGTACTTCAAGCTTATTTCTGCCTTTTTAGCTACTGTTCAGCTGGTTTTATTTTTGTTTTGTTTTATTTGCTAATTATTTTTTCAGGTAATTTCCACATTTTGTGCTCATTCCTGCTTCTTTCAGCAAACATGTTCTTTCTGCTTTCTTCTGATCATTTAAGCTTGTTCTACCTTTTCAGCTGGCTTTTTAGCATATTTTAGCTCATTTCAGCCGTTTCCAGATAAATGCAAGTTTTTCATATTAATTTCTGCTACTTTCAGCCTAATTAAATTATTTCTGCTAATTTCAACTTGTTACGCTCCTTTCAGCTTATTCTAGTTAGTTTCTACTAGCTAGTTTCAGCTACTATTTAGCTGTTTTTATGCTATTGTTTTTTTCAGCTAATTCCACTTTTTTTTTTTGCACTATTTTTTGTGTTCTTTCTTCTTCTTTCCCCTGTTGATATATGCTTGTTATACATTTTCAGCTGTGTTTCAGCATGTTTTTTTATAGCTAATTTCAGCTGTTTTTCAGCAAGTTCTTCAGTTATAAGCATTCACACACTACGTTTCGCAGGAAATGCAATTTTTCTAGTTGTAATTGTCTCGAGTCCACATAAATGTTTGAAGCTATTTAAACTCATCCGCAGTATGTTAAAGGAGCAAAAAGTAATATCTAGGAGTTCTTGTTGGATCTGAAAGGTGCTCAGTGAGAAAAATGGCTTCCTGGTCAGTGCTGCAATAGTCTAATTAGCCGCATAGCAGGTGTTACGTAAGGTAATGTATCATTTATGCAATTTAATTTTTTTTCCCAAAACCTTTCAACAGTGATGCATGGAACTGTGAAGCCTCATTATGATTAACAATTCTTCTCAAAACAAACAATGCTTATCTATAATTATATCTGTGCTATGTGCCTATCCATTATGTTTTGTTTGAACAAACACATTATGATACGCATTACAACTTCATTTCATTGTCAAATTATATAATTTGTTTACCTCCAGATTGCTTTATAAACAATCACACAATACTGAATTGATGCCCCCTCAGATTTTTTTATAGCTTGATGGGTACAAATAGGCTGTGGTATGACACTAACACATCTAAACCATTGTGTTGTGTATAGCTGAGTTGGAGGATACCCCCTTTCTCTTTTAGCCTACCAGTGTGGAGGAGAGTGAAAACAGTCAGCAGGAGATTGAGCAGTAGGATCACAAACAGCTTCAAATTAGAATACTGATGTTGCAGGGGCTGCGCGAGAGCTCCAGCACGCCTGAGAGAAACTGGAGTGGATTTAAAATAGGTGGGGAAAGAAATGGCGTGCTGTCAAAAGCTTGCTTCTAGGGAAACAAACATCAGTTGTTACAGTGCCACTGTGTGATTGTGTACCTCCTGAGGGGGCTTGTGAGACGCTCACAAACTGATATCCTTGGAAATTACACTCCTTGGTTCTAACAGGAAGCAATTCATCTGAAAAAGTGGTTGAAAGTAAGCAACAAAAAAAAAATGCTTTGCCATGTACGAAGCTGTAATTCAGCTGGATTCATTTGCAGACAAATATAACTGCCCTGCCACCCCATCTCCTGTGTTTCCTCTTTCACAGAAATAGGTTCCTCCTGTCTGACTGGATGAGAAGAAACATTTCTGGTTATGTGCACGCTGAATGAATTTGCGATGCACCCTCCACAGAATTAATGGCCCAGATTCGCAACATCTCATTGGGTTCACTATTTATATGGGTCCATACAACGCCCTAAAAGCTCAGACCTACAAAAGAGATGAAGAGGCTGTGGATGTTTTCAGCCACAAATAAGCCAGATCCAGGCAACGTCAAGCCTTTTTTTAAAGGCATTTCATAGATCATGACTGGCAAATTGCAGTATTAGGCAAAGTAATTGTCCTCAGGTGTTATGAACAGTCAAAGCTTATTCTCCATCCCGTGATTCCCAACTGTGGGGATTAGGCTCAGAGGCTTTTCCCCTGATGGAAGGAAAGGGGAAAAGCACTAAGTATGTGTAGCCAATCAGCTTTCTGCATTGCTTGAGCATCTTGTCCCTTTTGGGCCACTAGATCCAAGAAAAGAGACGCACCCCCCCCCCCCCCCCAGCCCCTCAGGACCTGTAATACCTGCATGATGAGTGCCACAAAGCTGCTGGCTGCAGCAGCCAAACTCAATCCCACCATGCCTCACACACAAGAATCCGCAGGCCTGGGAGCAGCCTCCACCTCCTCACTGAAGCTCTTTAGAGCCCCCTGCTGTGCTGATGCAATACAGCGTCGTTCAAAAACTGCTAATTTACCAAAAACACTTTTGTCTGTGCTGCATTGCTTAAAGTAGCAAGTTGTTTTCTGAGCTCTGTTACTGCTGAATAAATATATTTCACAGATGTGTAATTTTAAACCGCTGCCTTAGGTTTCTGTGAAGATAATGTACAAAGAGAACAACTTATCGGACTGCTATAGATAAATGCAATTAATTTAGACTATAAATAGGTTTAACTGGCAAATGTCATATATCTTTTGGGTCCTGGGACTCTGGAAGTAAAATGTTAATGGTGAGTGGAAATTAAACTTTTTATGCATCCTTTTTTTCCAAATCGTCATATAAATTTGCTGTTGCAGGTCAAAAGAAAAATCGGTCTGCGAATGTGTAGTAGTACAAACAGCCTTGAGCTGTCCAGCTTGCTCAAAAGGTTCAGAGTACTTGTGTATGCATGACAGGTCAAACGCCTTCCATCACTGTAAATCTGATTTTATAGTAGAGCTTTTATGGCAATTTAATTAAGAATACAAAGGCCACAGGTCCTGACTTTGCATTTTGAATGCAGGCTTTAACGGTGTCTCGAAACCGCTGCTTAAATTATAGCTGCCTCTTTATTGGATGGGTGCCTGTCACGGATGATTTACATTCTGCGTATCAAATCGGCCATCTCAAGGAGAAAACAGCATCGCGGAAGATGACCGAGGACCCATTCTCCATGCATACTTATTAAACAAACAGTGGAACTGTTATCTTTGGTGACCCTGCAGACTGAAGCTAGCAGCAGCCAACAAAATGTTCTCCAGCGACAGCAACACGACTCAACTACCGTTTGTAATAAATCTTTGGAACAGTTGACAGAGAGCAGAAACGCATTCGTTTATATAGAAGCTTGTGACACATTCAGACTGCTGTAGTTATAAATATGCACATCTTTCATCACTCTAATGTTATTTAGGACATATATATTTCAATTTGGGGGCAGAAATTATTTTTCAGGGACCCAGTCATAACGGTGCCGGGGAACCGTTTGAGAACCGTTTTAGTGTGTGTGGTTTTTTTTAAACGTCTATTGGCGTTGAATAATGCTGAACATAAAAAGTTGACTTGGTGTTTTAGTTTTTTATACCAGGACTCTTTTTGTCTTCCGAGAGCTTTTCAACGGACTTTTGTCTCCATGACAACTTGTCAGTCAGTATTCAAAGCATCAGAACGTGTTCATCTTCATTTCCAGAGATTTACCGGAGCCAGTTCATTACGATAATTTTTTGTCATTAAATGGGAACAGATTAGAGACACCCTACCTCTTTCAAACATTATAGGGAGTTTTGCTAGAACCCTTTTTCCCTACAAGGATTTGGGTGTTCACATAATAATTAGATGCAGGAAAGTAAAAGACCAAATCTTGAAACTAATGAAAGTAGGCAGCTCAGCAGTCAGACTTTGCATTCTGATAATACAGCTGCATCACTGGTGACAAGTTCGTAAAGGCCACGTTTGATCCTCTACTTTAAAATTGATGAAGACAGTTGGCACAGGCTGCATGCAATTTAACCTCATAGGGGAACCCTCAGATGGTTCTGTGACGTGGGCTGACAGCAAAGCAGCTGAGTGATGTAGAACTAGAGCCATCTATAATTTTCTGTACACTATCACATTTTTGAAGACCAGTACAGCTCCACACTGATGAGGAGTGTCGTATTGTTCCCTGGCTGTTTTACCTCTGCTTACATCTGCTGTCACTAGCGGCATAAATGTGGTCGGAAGTGACGGCAATATTAAAAGTATAATCAAGAACAATGCAGATCACCCACCGCCTAGCTCTAAACAAAGATCTCGCACAATCCGTTAGCGCTTGGAACACCTATTTGGGATGAGTCTCAGCTACGGCCACGCCAAATCTTAACTCAGCATCAGGATAACAGAGTTGTTGCTATTTTTGTTGTTTGCTAAGTCGAATAGCTGTAGCAGCCTTCTTGAATCGAGTTAAAACCAAAACTTAATCAGTTGATGTACCTTTACTTTCTAAGTTTCAGTAAAAACCATCTGGAGGCCAAATAGTACACACCGGTCTAAATATCAAACCTGAAAATCAGCCAGGCTCAATGTAGCAAACAAGAAATAATCCCGCAGTCGTGCTACACTTCAACACCTCAGTAAGTCTTTGCAAGGATGCATTTCAACAGCTCAGCGTGTGACCGAGGAACAGTTCCATTATAATCATCTTGATTCATAACCCCCTCATTAGATAATTAAGCTCATTTATTCTCACTTGAAAGCACAAATGAGACATAGCCTTGAGAGCGCCACAGATCTAAAACACTTTTTTGTTTATTTTGAGCTTAAGGAACTTCGATTGTGATAGAACGCTGTGATTAAACATTGCCTCATCAGTGTGGTGAATACAGTTAGTATAACATACAGTAAGAATAAAATAAATAAGTACAGTAGTGTGGTAGTGTAAGTTCATATAGCTTCAAAGTTCACACGTAAAGTCTAAAAATGCATTCTGTTGTTTTTTTTTTTATTCCCACCACGTATCCATCCGTCGTACACGCACTCTCTGTTTATAGTGGTATTCTTTCAAGTGTTTTTTCAAAGCATTTGGAATGGGGAGCATGTTGATGCCATCGTAGGTGGTGCAGCTGCTTATGACGGCTCTGCAGATGTGCTGCAAGCTAAAAGGGTGTGTGCGATGGATGGGATTGGACAAAAGAGGCTCGAAAAACATACAGGAGTTGGGGTCCTTGTAGTGCTCCAACAGACCCGTCACTGTGGGAGCATGGAAGACACTGGGGTCGTGAACATCGAAGCTGAAATTGTGGTTCCACTGTTCAATACGCGCATGTAGCGAGCGGCCGTAGCGGCGGAAGCTAACAGAGAAGAGGTAGTCTTCCTGGGCGGAGTCACGCAGCAGGAAGGTGCCCTCAGGCTTCCCCTCCAGCAGTGTCTCTGCTTCGTAGCGGTCCATGACTCCCCAGTAACACGGGAGGTTAGTGATCTGCAGCAGATCTGGTACTAAACAGTGAATGTAATCGATCTGCGTGTGAATACGGTAGCCTTCGTGAGATTTTTGATGCTCAGTCTCCGGGCGTGGGGCTCTTGAGGTCACGTTGGCGATTTTTACTTCTGGGTCAACCAAAGAGTCGGAGGCCATTTCAGACGTGCGAGCAGAGGCTGATGCTGAAGCTACAACCTCGTCAAGAGTGTCCAAACAGCTCTGTAGTAAAAGTTGGTGTTGCTCTTGTCTTTGGAGAAGAAGCTGTTGCTGCTGATGGACAGACGCTCTGTCGGTCTCAGCTAATTCATTCATCCCGTGAGCCAGCTTCGGGCCATGCTTGTAGAGAGGATTAATTTGGGCTGTCACCTCAAACGTGTGAATCTCCGCATTAGGTGGTGGCTCAACACCTTGTTCGATGCTGATGCGCCTGCGCTCTCGTAACTTGTCATCCACATCTTCCACAGAAGCCGTCATTGCTGAAGTTGGGGCACTGCAGACTACTGCAGAATCTAACAGGGGAGGCTGGGTAATGGGGGCCGTGTGTTGCTTAATGAGATACCATTTCTGAGCCAGCTCCGATCCAACAGGGAAAGGGCAGTCATCCAACATCAGCTCACTGAGATGGATCTTCCGCCTGGAGGAGGCACAGGCAGCTGACGATGAAAAAGCCTGTGGGGGTGGAGCCGGTGCTGCTGCACTGTGAGTCTTTATTGGGAAACACTGACCCATTGCATCCTGGATTTTTTGCCTTAAAGTGCGGCTGGCGCTTGACCCTCTGCCCTCTGTTTCACTGAGAGCGGGTAAGTCTGTAGCAGAGCTAACCGTTACCAAACCTGCCTTGGCTGTAACCCCTTGCTCTAATAATGATGCAGCAACATCCAAGCCCTGCCATCTCCAACTCTCCTTCAGGGGGGATGAGGCGTTTTGCCTCCTGGCCTCCAGTTCATTTAGCAGCTCACCATACTCAAAGCCATCACTGGCAGGCCGCTCAGCTGCAGTTTCGTGTAAGCAGGCACCTTTTTTCTTTAACTTTGCACTTTTTCGACCACCACCCGCATCTCTTCTCTCCTCGGACCGGCTTTGTCTCACCTTCGGACGGGCACCCCTCTCTCGATCTTTCCCCCTGTTTCCTGACTCATTTGGCAAGGACATCATAAATTATGTGGAGAAACTGCGACAGTCGAACCACTTCAGAAAGTTGAGTGGAGATGCCTTATTGTCAGATGTTATTAAAAAGATTTCCATCCACATACAACGCGCTTGTTTGAAATATTTACATTGTCCAAGGCAATATTCATCAACCTGCAAAATAAAATAAAAAAAAACCATTTAAGGTCTGGATTTACTTGTACATTCTTAGTTTACTACATTTTGTTACTTGGATATGATGCAATTGAAGCAGTTAAGTTCACATCTATATAGTGAATTTAAGGTATAATAACAAGCACATTAAAATCTAAAGGAGGCACATTGTAACAGCAATATTTGCTTTCATCAGACCTGTCTCTGTCTGGAGTCTATTCTTTAAGACATGTCATATCTTGTCATGTTCCAGTGACCAACAATCAGAAAAGCATGAAAAATTAGGTGGCAAGAAATGACATGTAATCAGGATATATTCCTATTTAGTTCAAAAGTATATTTAATGCAAAATTTAAAGTGTTACATTGATTGACAACAAATTTGATATGTGACAAGCAAAGCTAAAAAAAAACTTGTTAGTATGGTTTTAGAGAGGGGTTTCCCCCAAATCTAACTATAAATTATAATTTAAAAAGTATGATGGTTTTGTTGTTTTTTATGTCCCCAGATTACTTCCTGACACTAAATATGTGTTTATAATATCAAATGTATAATGGGCTCACATCAATAATGCGATGTTTTCCAAACACAAGTTGTACTTCACTTAACTCTGTCAAACTAGAACAACTTTTAATGAATCCAAAAAAGAAGATTGGTCATTTTCTATATTCTTTACATCGTTTAGAGATGGTTTGATTGTTGCTGTATATATTTTTATTTCTGGTTAAAACCGAGACAAACGTATGAATAATGGGTGTGAGTTTGTTTTTTTTATAACTACATCTAAACATCTAGTCGTGTTAAATTATCTTGTTCTGGTTAGTGGCTATATATCAAGATTGTGAATGATCAGAGTAAGAAATGTACAAACTTTTCTTTTGCAACAAAAACAAACGTTAGCTTGAGATGAATGCTTGAAATAAATAAAATACTTCTGGGTAATTGCTGACTCAGCTCTAATTAAAACAAAACACAGCAGTTAGTTTTATTGTAAGTTAACAAGTCAGCATCCATGTAAACAAATTTTGGGTAAAAAGTAAGCTAGCAAAACGGTTAGCTTTCTGCTAACTTAAATACGCTTTGTTTTGAAATGGAAAGACTTGGAAAAAATACCCGTATTTAACTTTCAAGGCAATAACATATATCCGGAACATACCTTAAGCACCTTTTCAAAAGTTTTCGCATTTAATAGTTTTTTTTGGGGGGGGGGGGGGAAATCTATTAACGTTAACACCCAGGCGGCTAACAGCTATTAGCTTGTTGAACCGCAACAGGAAAAAAAAAAACCGTGACCCGGAAGTAAATGTTTTGTTTAAGGCCTTTCAGCGTAAAAGCAATAAGTAAATTGACTTAAAGCTGAACTAAACGAGAGCTCTTTTGCAACAATTATTACTTTTATTATACTATTATTGTTATGCATAAGTTAATGGACACAAAGAAGCCACAAGTGAAAATTTGCAAAAGAACTGAACCTCTTTATTTGGACTGTCAATGATCCGAGACAGGTGTTGCATTTCAGACCATTCACACATATGAGTGACAGTAAAAAAGTAGAGCATAAGCATGTGATGCAAAAGTTTAATAAAATATTAGAAAATGTCTGGGGAAGTTATTAGAATTAAATAGAAATCTTACAAGACAAGTATGTGCAGTGTAACCCAGAATTGGCTGCAACAAGTCAACAATTACAAGCCCGTTACAGACTGTAAAATGACTTCTGGAACACTTGGTAGATGTCTCCATATGACACAGGCTCTGTATCTCCTAGTAGATGCTTGGTATGCTCATATACACCAGGCTAAACTTTTGAAGTGCATTTCCCATCCTTGCATCACTGGAATGTAAACAGGGAGTAAACATATTCCTTGGCCTGTTATTAGTGTTCAGTTTACTCATCACATAATTTGTGGCTCAGATAAGCATCGTCATCCCCTGCTGCATCATCACTTGCAGAAATCTGTATTGTACCTCTATGTCTATTTAAAGAAACATAAGTTGTCCAGGGCAACAGAGGCTGTGAAAAGGAGAATCTGAGCCATTTGGAACAACACAGATGATGAACAGTATTGTGGGAAGAAGAAAAAAAAAATTAAAGCCAGCAGCACTAACGCACCGGAGATCGTTTCTAGATGTGAATGTGATGCTTTTTCTAAGTCAGATCTATCCAAGAGCCTGCTCTGAAGAAATCTATGACTAGAATGCAATCACTGTTAAAATAAACACATCAAGAAGGTTGGAATTTAGCACTTCAGGCACCACATGAACAGTTTATCAGGACATGACAGCCAACAGTTTAATCACAAGGCCAGAGAAGCTTTTCCTTCTGATCACATCAATCATTCTGATGTAATCTGTAAAATCTACTGAGACTCATATGGAGTCCACAGATTAGGGAAGCGGAGGGCTTTTGTTTGTTTACCCAGCCACCCCTCATGTGAGAAGGCTTCAGTTCTTTTATGTTACATAGTGAGACAATGGATTACTCATGACATCACATAATATGAGTTGGGCATTATCCCGGAGAGATGTAAACAGTGACATTTAGGCGTTATAAACATACAACATTTGTTGCAAGATGACTGCTCTCTAGCTGTTGGTGACACCAGGCACCATCAGCCGTCATGTCCTCTACCTACAACAGTGCTGTATTAGTGTGGCAAAACATGCGATTATAGAAAATAAGCATAAGTTATCAATATCAAGGGAGAGTAAAAAATACAATTGGAAAAGATATCTGTAAATAACCATCTTTACTAGACAGACCTCCTATGGCTCTGTTGAAAGAATATGCGAATGGTTATCCCTGCCTTGTTGAGCAACCAAAAGTGATCCAAAAGTTAAGACTATATCACACAAACATGCACCTCCGGCTCTGCCACATTCAAAGACAGAGGCTGTATAGGACAGTTTTGGATTCAACACTGATACCACGTGATAATGTTAGAGCTGAGACTGAAACACACAGACACGAACAGAAATATAAGGACATCGTCAAGCACCTTGAAAAGTATGATTCATCAAATCGTCACGTCTGCCAGTTGAGGATGAGGGGCTCTGTGAGGGTGAGGCGCTGTGCGCCGAGCATTTCTTACAGGGCCACGCTTCAGTTTACCGAACCAATCACGGGGGAGCTCGAGATGGCTTTCATTGAGCTTCCTCACCCAGCATTGGGTTGGAAATTGAAAACTCTGGCCTCTTTGCTGTTATCAATTCAGTATCGGCTCTCACACAGTACAAACCTCACCAGCCCTTACTAACCCACCCCCCCTCTAGGCACAAAATGAGATTCATCATCATTTATGCTGCTGGGTATAAAATTAAGAAAAACAAATTGCAGCTGGCATACTTTTTTTTTTCACACTGCTTTTTTTTTTTTATTATACCATTCTGCTGCAACTCACTACAAATAACTTTCTCAAATTAATAATCACACAACCCTTGTCTTTGGCTTTGTAGACGTTCAGAGGACAGTCACTTTTTTTACTTTGACCATGTGTTCAAGAAAAACAAAACAAAAGATATAGCTAGAGCTGAATAACAAACTGTTCCTCAAGGTTTGTTTTTAATTGAGGAACAGTTTGTGTCATAAAAAAAAACATCTTTTTGCATATTAGACAAAAAGAACTGAGAAAAAGCATCTAAAGTTTGAAGCAACACAAGCCCCGACTAGCCTTGCCTCTAGGATGAGCAGTCAGAGAAGTGTGAAACTTTAGAACGTGTACCACGGGGGGCCTATTACAGTTTGGTGCCTAATAATAGAAAAGATAAAGAAAAGTGCCTTTCTTCTGGCTGGAAATTTTGTTTTTAGAAATTGTGTGGTGTGGGGGCTGCGACAGTCAGTTTTCTTGTGGATAGAATAGAAAGCCTTGCTCCACAGCAGTGAGGGAAGAAGAGCAACTCAGGGCAGAACCCTTAAACACAGCACCAATCCCCTGGTTTTCTCTCATCGTGGTAAACTGAGCCGCTGCACGTCGTGCCACAGTCCTGCAGGTGGCACGGCACAGTCGATACAGTTTACCTTTTTCTCTGTTCTACAATATAATAATCATCTGTAATTCATTTTTAATAAACTTAGTTGTATATAATAAAGTACAAAAATATTAGAGAACATATACAGTTTTTTTTTGTCATATTGTAGTGACTGCCTAGCCTGTGTTTTATTTTTTGTTGTTGTTTTTTGTCGTTTTTGAAGCATACATATATCTTTGTGCTGAACAAGCCTCAATCCAACATTTGTCCTCTCTACTTTTCAAATTGTTGATGTCCGGTCTGTTCCATCTGGAAAAAACAAGAATAAAAAAGAGCAATAAGACAATAACCAAGACACGCGTTTTCCTTTTTTGTTCTTAATGCCATGTTATTTTGTTGCTCTAATCTGAAATGAAAAATATAAATGCACAGAATGCAAAATGTCAATTAATCAATATAAAATAAATCATTATGTGCTGGCTACATATTTGATATTAAAAGTAGATATAATATAATAGACATTAACATACATAGGAAATAAGCAAAAGAAAATAAAAGCTTATTGTTTTCATTTGTTCTTCCCTTGAAAATGACTTTTAACAGTTTCATATTAAGGTGTAGGTATTCAGAACCGCTACTAAACTGGTACCCCATCAGAACTGAACTACCAATAAATTATATAATAATAATAATAATAATAATAATAATAATAATTAGGGATGCACCGATTCACTTTTTTTAACTTCCGATCCAATCCCAATACCTAAATCTGGATATCAACCGATATGATACCTTTCCAATATCATAATCATTGACTTTATACGAGGTTGTAATAATCTCCTCTCAAGTACAATTTGTACAAATCTATGCATGCATGTCCAAAAAGGCAACTTGAGGTAAGTTTTATTAATGTTGGATAAGTTTCAAAGTTAGAATTAAATCCTGCTAACACAAAACATGTTTTTTTGAATTCCTAGCTTTAAAGTGGATTTAAAGTGATTAATTTAAGTGATTGTTTGTTTAAAATTGTTTTATTTTGTTTCTTTTAAATGAATAAAATTTTAAAAAGAACAATTAAATGTCTTTAAACATCTGCTAAGTTCGTGGCATAAACCAACACGGACATGTTCCTGTTTTTAGTATTTTACATCACTTTATAATGTAGCTGTTTTTGTTTTGTGTTTTTATATAATTTTCTTGTACTTTTCAATTCATATGCTTTTTATGATTGTCTACTGTTGTACTGATAAATATCTCCTGGAGAGTAAACTATATCTTGGCTGCAAGTATCAAACTGTGAAATCCTTCGTTTTCTACAAATGACAGCAGTTGATCATTAATTACGATGAAGTTTAACAACTTCTCTGTAAACATTCGAGCTCCATGGCTTCAGCGGTGTGTTCTTCTTGTCAGTCCGAAGCAGGCAGTCTGATTTCGGTCAGCTGTGCTCAGTCTGCCCCTCCTCAGAGACGGGCAGACTGAGCGGGCAGATTGAATGCGGCTAGTCGAGCTCGGGCTGCCTGCTTCGGGTTGAGCGAGAGGAGCGCCCCGCTGAAGCCACGGAGCTCGACTGTCCAACGTAAAACTAACTTTGCCGCGGTTTAATGTGGCGCTATGGCTCTGCAGACATTGCACGTTGCTGTCTTGCTTTGTGGTGTTTCTAGTGTAAAATACTTCCACACAGCGGACATGTTTAGATGAAAAACTGGTTGGCCCTTAGCCACAATGCTACTGCACATTGTAGCTGGCTGCAAACTATGAACTGGATTTCTTGAATGTGAGGCGGGTCTTAATACTCTGGGCTCATGAAACACACCTCCTTTCAGGAAATCCATTCCATAGTTTGAAGCAAACGTGCGTGATGGATCGGAAATCTCTGCAGGTTGGATCGGAAAAATCTGATATGTAAATTACGCTGGTATCGGAGCCTGATACAGATACCAGATCTGCCCCATCCCTAATATTATTATTATTATTATTATTATTATTATTATTATTATTAATAATAATAATAATAATTATTATAATATAGTAGTCCCTCATTTATCACAGGGGATCCGTACCCTGAAGCTCTGCAATAAGTGAAAAACTGTGAAGTAGGAATATTAGTACAAGTAGTAAGTATATAAAGGTGTTTTAAACCATTCCCACACTCTTGCAACATTCTAAATAATGTTTCTAAACTCTAAACGCTCTACAAGAGAACAGAAAGTCATGATTTCAGCTCTCTGCCTCCTCTCAGCCACCGCTACACTCTGCACTCTCGGCCACGCCCACTTCTCTGCAGCAGAATGGAGATCACAGAGGAGGATGGAGGAGGAGCTGCAGGAGGACATTTTTCCTGCAGTGTGGGCTGCACACAGGTGCTAAATAATTTTAAACAATTCATTTTAAATAAAAAGTCCATGCTGATCGTGCGGCCCATCCATCAATCAGCCAGTTGTGTGTCATGTCCAATCTTATGTTGAAAAACCGCGATAGAGCGAGTCCGCGAAAAACAAACCGCGAAGTACTGTTGTAATAAAAATAATATTATTATGACAAATTCAATAAGCAGTCACGCTCAAGCAATGATCATAGTTCCAAAGTTTTAGTGCAACTCCACCAAATGAGGTGAAATGCAGAATATTGAGAGTAAAAACAAATATAATTTTCTGAGGACCCAACAGATTCCATTGATAATATTTAACAATATTAAAAAGCAAACGTCTCAACCTCATTAGATTAGGCAAAGATGTGGAAGCATATGAACAGTCCCAAGTGTTTCAGTACTATGCAAAACTGTTTTTATCAAATTATTTTTATCTTTTTATCTGTTGCTGCTGTTACACTTGAATTTCCCATCCGTGGGACAATAAATGCTGTTTCTATTCTATTCTGTTCTATTCTAAAGATAAATGCAGAACAAATGACAAAAGTCAATTCATGTCAATATTTCACCATTTTGCTCAAAACTTTAGAGCTGCAAAAATGAATATCCTTATTATTGACCTGGAAATCAATAATGGTCTGAAGACTACAGTGTTGAATGATCAATTAAAAGAAAAATTAATTCATAAACATAGTTGATAGAGTGAAATAATAACAGTGACTGTTTGTAGATTATTTGTTATTTATCTCGTATAGTTTTTATAATATAGAGAATGGTTGTGCTCTGGGTGGGCACAGAGGTGTGAGGCGATCATGAGAGTCGTTGAGGTTTCTTACCTCCTAAGGCATGCTCCGTCATACTGAGGCACAGCGACTCCAGCGTGGGGTTGATCTCCAGGTCAGCCCCTGGAACTTGGCATTCTGAAAAAAAACGAGCAGACTTGGTTCTCTGGAAAATTGGAGAATATACTACAATCTGTATTATCCATTTTTATATACTACTTCAGGACAAAATCAATATATTGTTTACAGTAAATAAAACTGAATGTGCCATCGAGAGTATTTTTATTAATTACAGTTCATGCTCTGAACTTTAAGTTCTGTTATCTTGAGAAAACTTTGGGAATCCATTACTAATACAGATCACCCAAAACTCTACGTAGACTGTGCAATTAGTTCAACATTCAGTTTAACGGCATTTTCTAATCCAGTCAAATGGAAGTAATTTGCTAAATTTGACTTTTTCTTCTTTTCATTCTATTTTTTTGTTGTGGTCGTTTATCTAGTTGGCAAGTCTAATAAAAGCTTATTTCACTTGCTCACAAATCTCTGGTTTTAACTGGAACATCACGTTTTTAACCAATCCCATGTAAATGCACACGTGGTGCATTCTACTTTTTTGTTTTTGTACGCAATAAATCATTTTAAGTAAGAAGTTTTGGCCAAGTTTCTACCTCTGGAACAATTTTACACCCAAAACAAAAACGTATGAGCAAATTTAGGCTTTTTTTTCTGATGTTTGCACCGTTAGCTACTTCCATTTGGCTCATCTCAACACTGCAGTAAAGTGGAAAGTTGAACGCTACATTAACATTTCATGCAAAAATATTTCAGGCAGGCGTTAAATCCACTATTTCCACATGATCAATCTCTGGAACACCTTACACTTCAGTTTTAAAAACAATATACATCAAAACGAAGGTTCACAACAAACAGCATGTAGATGTCACTAAACAAGGAGTGTGTGTAAAGATGATGGCGTAGTCACATTTAAACAAGAACGAAGATAGCCCGTGGGTGAGTACAGTAGTCCCCCGCTACTTCGCGGTCTGTTTTTCGCGGACTCGCTCTATCGCGGTTTTTCAAAGTAAGATTGGACATGACACACAATGGCTGACTGATGGACAAGTCACACAATCGGCGTGGATTTTTTATTTAAAATAAATTATTTTTAATGATTTAGCACCTGCTGCACAGGTTCATGTGCAGCCCAAAGCTATGGGAGAAGCTTCCTCCTGCAGCTGATCAGCTGCTCTACACCATGGAGATCAGCTGATCAGCTGAAGAAGTGGGCATGGCCGAGAGTGCAGGCAGAGCTGAAATCATGACATTCTGTGATCTTTTAGAGCGTTTAGTCTAGAAACATTGTTTAGAATATTGCAAGAGTGTGGAAAGGGTTTAAAACACCTTTATGTCTATGTGTGCGAATATATATATATATATATATATATATATATATATATATATATATATATATACACACACACACACATTAAAATTAACTACTACTTATTACTTGTATTATTATTCCTACTTGGCGGTTTTTCACTTATCGCGGGGCTTCAGGGTATGGATCTCCCCCCCACCACCCCCACCCCGAGATAAACGAGGGACTACTGTACATGACTAGATGTTGATAAACAAATATGTTAGAGCTCGTAGAATACCTTGTTGCTGGAACAAGAGCATGGTTTGTGGGGACGTGTGGACAGGGAGTGAGTGGGTCCGCTGCACTGAGCTGCGACTCTGACTTGGCATGCTGTTACTGCCCCCAGGGTTGGCAAACCACAGGTTCTACAGAAGAAACACAAGATCTCTTTATAGACATTTATTTTTCCTGAGCGGCTACTAAACTTTCATCTTAAATAAATCCTCTGATGTATCAAAAAATGACTGTTTGGCCCCGACGCCTTGATTGAAGGAAACCAGGAAAGCTAAATCTGCGCTATATAAGCATGGGATTTCCCAACGCTATGGCAGCATGCAGAGAAAATTGTCAAAAAAAATTTTTTTCTTTCTTAAAGAATAGAATTATAGCGATTATTTCTGAAGACATATCTGTTAGAAAACATCAATTTCAAGTTAGATTAGGAAGAAAGGACTCATTTTTTACAGAAATCTCAATAATAGCGAAAATCTATATTTTCACTTTCTGCACTGCAGACTGTGCAACAAGAAAAAAAAAGGCTTGGGTCACAAATATGCACTTCAATTTATTCTAAATACCAATTTCATTAATATATAAAATTATTAATTGAAAGTAATTAAAAACCAACAAAATCAAGTAACCCTACGATTGGTTTAATTTGACAACGTAGACATGCTCAGAAGCTAAAAGTCCTGTTATAAGAGTAAAAATGTCTCCACTGATACGGATACTCACTTGTCTACCCTGGCCTGCCAGTGCAGGATTAGCGAGCGTGTGGCGTGGAGATGCTCCCCCAATCCCGCCAGTAAGACACATGCGCCCAGTTGGGGGTCCACGAGGGGTCATCTGGAACTGCCTTTGGCCCCGCCGGCTTACACCTCCACTCACAGAGCCTGCTGTGGGGAGGGAGTTCGACCCGTAGTTCCAGCTGAAACAGCAAAAACCGCAAACACAAAAAAAATAAATACAAACTTGAATTCGAAGAGCAGAGCGGCTCCGTCGGCTGCTGAAGCTAAATTTCATTTGAATGACGGTGATGATTTAATGAGAAGCAGCAAATGAAAGAGGCAGCAGTAGGGATGAGCCAGGAAAGGTTACATGAAGTTAATTTGACATCTGTGCTGCTTAAGTTGGAGATCAAAGGGAAGAGAAAGCAGGCAGTCTCACCCTTTCTGTCGGTATGCTGACAGGTCCGGCATAGCTTTCCGAGGAAACAGGCGCAGCAGGTTGAAGACCTGCTGCTTCCAAGAGACCAGCCTTTTCTTATGAGTTTCTGTGAAAGCCTGACAGACAGAAAAATACATACATACATATATATACATACATATATACATAT